CCCGCCAGCAGTTTGACGGCGCCGTCCGTTGCCGTCAGACGGAAAACTACGCCGACGGCTAAACTATACCGACGGCTGCGCCAGGGCCGTCGGCATACCCCCTATGCCGACGGCATTATTATGCCGACGGTCTGACAGGAGTACGCTGACGTAATCTAGATTGACGGCTCTATGCCGACGGCTGCCGTCGGCATAGATCTATGCCGACGGCCTAGGGGCCTATGCCGACGGCCCGTGGCCGTAGGCATAGACCGCGAGTCCGGTAGTGGTTGGATGCTCTGCCGGAGCTATTCGTCCACAATGTCCCTCACAAGGCCATGACAAAACTCACGTTTATTAATAGCGGTATTGGTATGACCAAGTCAGACCTCATGAAGAACCTTGGTACCATTGCAAGGTCTGGCACGAAAGATTTCATGGAGGCTCTAGCTGCTCGTGCCGACATGCCCATGACTAGTCAGTTTGGTGGTTTTTTCTACTCTGCTTGCCTTGTTGCTGAGAGAGTCGTTGCAACCAGCAAGCACAACGGCGATGAGCATTATGTTTGGGAGTCCCAGGCTGGTGGCTTCTTCACCGTGACACGTGATACTACTGGATATCCCCTTGGGAGGGGTACTAAGATCATCCCCTACCCCAAGGACGATCAGGTACAAGAGAACACAAGTCTAGTCGCTATTTACCTTGCTGATGCTTAATATGTTCTGGATAGGCTTGGCAGTTTTTGTTGGTTGTTCAGAATTTCCATGATTCTATGAATGTACTGTTAGATTGAAATGTTGATCATGTCGCAATATTTTGTTTCGATGCTATGGGTTTGGAATTGTAGATGGAAGGTGGTACCTGGTTTTCTTGATTAATGATACTTAGTTTCGGGAGGGTTTTTGTAGAGGTTCAGTGCTGGTGAAACTCAAGCTGCTTCTGCTGGCAGCAAAGTTGTTAATGTGTGCCTTTTCTGTTTGCATACTGGAATAATGTTTTGCGGCCCGGTGGGTGTCCAAACAGGTCCCCTCCTCCACCCTCCTCCCCTCCTGACTTCCCGGCCCTCATTAGCGGAGGCGACCTGGTGGCCACGACGGTGAGGCCACGGCGGGGCTCGCGCTGCGCCCTGAGCGGCGGCCGCCGGCCTCTGGCCTGGGCTCGTGCTTGCTCTGCGCCTGAGCAGCGGCGGCGGCCAGTTGCCACAGTGGTGAGGGCATGGCGGGGTTCGGGCTGCGCCTCATGGCGGCATCCGGCCCCTTGCCGGCAATCATGCTCGCACTGCTCCTCTGAGCAATGGCTGCGCGCAGACCACGGGCAGGCTTGCGCGCTGCTCCTCTTGGCAGCGGTGGTGTGGCCACACCCTGGAAAAATTTGCGCCTTTTGATCGTGTTTGGCCGGAGTGGATGTGCTGGAGTGGGCTTCACTGGAGGCGTCGAGACTCTCGGTGAACAGCGAGGCTGGTGAGGATGGTTGGTCCTGGGAGCGTGCTTGGAGCGCTGCGGACGGTTTGGCCGACCGCGCGTGGGTGTCCGGCGTCTGACAGGCTGTGGACGCTGGTTGGTTGGACCATGAGAGCTGGCTACGTTGGCGAGGGGCTGCGGAGGGGGCAGTGCGAAGGACAATGCTGCCTTCTTCAATCTGGCGAGTATGGTGGGAGGTGGGCGACATAGCGGATGAAAGTCTTGCCCATCTTTGATCGGTGCCGGCGACGATGGCGCCCGTGGGCGTCGTTCTCCTCCTTGGAGGTGTTGTTGAAGCATGTCAACATCTCCCTACCTCTCTGGGACTGGTGGATGTCTCCGGGTGAAAGCCAAAATTCAGTTGGATCGGCGTGATGGCGGCGTCCTTGACGTCGTCCCTCTGTTGGGAGCATCGCGCTTGGAGACACGGGGCTCTTGTTTTCTTCTCCGGCGCACGACGTTGTCCTAGGCTGATGCTCAGAGGCGCTATGGACGCTGTCACCGGTGAGTACAAGGAGATGTCTTTTATCGGGATCGACCAAGTCCCGCCATCTACCTGTCATCCTTAGGCATCAAGGGTGGATGTTGCGTCGGCAAGGGAAATTCAGGCAAAGCTGTCGGCCTTTGGACGTGATAGGCGGCGGTTGAGACGCGGCGATGATACTCGGGTTAGGACAGGCTCTCTTTTGCTTTGTAGTTCAGATTTCAGTAGTGGCTGTCTTCGGACTAGCCGGATGTGGAGTGAGTTTTCCGCTTGTGTTAGCGAGTTGTAGACGTTATACTCTACCGTGTTGTGTTGTTTGAGTGGTATCAGCTCTTTCTTGAGCTTGTAAATCTTTTCTTTTCTATCAATGCATCGAAACGCAAAACTTTTGCGTTTTCGTGAAAAAAAACTTGTCCGTGACGAAGCGAGCGGCGACGGGGTAGTTTTCAGAGGGTCCATGCCGGGCCATGATCCCGCCCTGGATCAGGACAGAGAAGGTGGCCATGCCTAGCTTTACAAGGACTACTTCGATCTCACCAATCTAGTGTACAGTGCCAAGCTATTCCGGCGCCGTTTCCGGATGAGAGAGATCTATTCAACCGCATTCGAGTTAGAGTGATGGAGTACGATGATTTTTTTAAGTGCAAACCAGATGCATGTGGTAAGTTTGGCTTCTCCTCTTATAAAAAATACACCGCAGCAATTCAGATGATTGCATGTGGAGTAGCCGGTGATCTGGTAGATGAATACATATGCATGCGTGAATCTGTATGCCTGGATTCAATGTATAAGTTTTATGAAGCTGTGGTTCAAATTTTTGGCCCGGAGTACTTGAGAGAACCAACTGTTCCCAACACTCAGCGGATGTTGTCGATCAACGAGGGCAGAGGTTTTCCTAGGATGCTTGGAAGCATAGATTGTATGCAATGAGAGTGGAAGAACTGCCCATTTGCTTGGCAGAGGCAGTACAAGGGGCATGTTGGAAAGTGCACGGTCATTCTTGAAGCAGTGTCATCACATGATCTCTGGAGTTGGCACTCTTTTTTTGGCATGGCAGGCTCTCACAATGATATCAACGTGGTTCAACACTCTCCGGTGTTCGGCAGACTCGCGGCAGGCAACTCCCCGGAGGTGAGCGATCATATCAATGGCCACGAATACACCAAGGCATACTACGTAGCTGATGGTATCTATCCCCAGTGGTCTACATTTGTGAAGACCATCTCCAATCCTCATGGAGAGAAGAGGGTTTGGTTGGCCAAAAAACATGAGAGTGATAGGAAGGATGTGGAGCGTGCTTTCAGTGCTCTCCAATCTCGGTGGGCTATTGTTCACACCCTGCTAGGACATGGAGCCTGGAGATTATGTGATGTGATGATAGCTTCTGTGATCATGCACAACATGATCATAAAGGATGCATGATGATCATTGGGAGTTCCAGGTCAGAATGTTGAGCCCCAACCAGGACTGGCAACATTTTAGGAGTTCCTCTAGTTTCAGCATGAGTTGCGTGATCGCGACACTCACACTTGACTTCAAGATATTTTGGTTGAGCATATGTGGACTTTCGTAGGGAACCAGTAGGACTTTTATTTGGTTGTAATAAATCTATAAGATTTTAAATTATTCAATTTTAAAACTATGAATTTACTCTCGTATGTGTTTCAATTTTCAGATATTTTTATTATTCTTACCATTTATTTAAGTTTGTTCCGTTGTTTTGAGAGAAATACCCAGATCCGGGAAAAAATGAAATGGCAGGTCAAATAAGCAGCCCCGTAGGATGCACTGTAAGGATGCGAATACCGGATACATTTGTCCCATTTATTCTCCATTTTGTACATGTCGACATGTACAAAATAATAGAGAATAAATGAGACAAATGGATCCCGTTTTCACATCCCTAGTGCACTACCAGAAAAACAGCCGGACACCTGCCCGGACTGAATCGAAGATAAATTCGGGTCCGTTTAAGCAGCCCGTAGGAGACGTCCTCATAGTGCTATCATCAAACTCACAATTGTACTAGTTGGGAGTCCATTTCCCACGATAATAAAGTTGGTGGGAAAGATCGACCAAGACGTCAACCAACAACGTCCAAACCTACACAAACGAATATCCTAGTACGTTGCGTAGCAGTCAGCATGTGCTTAGTTTGGTTCATGCATGCTTACAAATATCATCTCTGTTTGTTGGACAACGTTATCGTGTTCCATAGGTCATAGCTGACATCGGACTGCGAGAAATATGGTCGGTTTTTGCAACTCAAAATAGTACTATAAGATAGTGCAGCAGCCACTTGTAATCTGCCGATACTACTGGTGCCAAAGACGATAAACTGATATGATGCACACAGACGAAGTTTCACGGAAGGTGCTATAAACTCCAAGACTAGACTATAGTAGTGGAATTTGACGAGATTCGTAATGAAACACTGGGATCATAGTAATCTTTAAAAAAAATATGAAACACTGGGATTGAGAAATGGTTTCGAGGTGGAATAAATTATCGAATCATCAGTTGATAGGGAATGAGCTGATCAGAGCGAACTACGGGTGACTTCTTTTGGGTTTATGAGATGGCTTCTAGCTACCAAACAACATAAGCCTAAAAGAAGTGTCCAGTTTCTTTCCACCGAGAAGCCCACCAGAAGCAACGCGCAGTGCATTTTCGAGAAACTGGTCTGGAGCAGTTTCCCGAACTTCTCCGGGAAGAATCGAACCGGTATTTCGTGCTGCCCCTCCGTTCCACTGTCATCGCCTCCATGCAAATGCCCGGAGCCCACCAGATCTGTTATGTATCCCGTCTATTTGATAGCCTCCATCCGTTATGTATCTCCTCTATAAACAAATGTGCAGAACTTGCAGATTCTTTTCTCCCTATGTTCCCATCTATTTGTAATTTTGTCCTAAGTAAAAAAATTAGTTTGATAAACGTTATTAAAAATATAGCAGTATTCTAGCACTAAATTGGTATATTATGAAACTACAATCTAAGATGCATCTAGCTAGTGATATTAATTTGTTATTATAATGCTATATTTTCTTTGAAATTGGTCAGACTAATAATTTTTTTACTTAGGACAAATTTGAAAATACAGTTATTCAGGAACGGAGGAAGTATGTAAGCAACCCCTACTAGTTCACTTAGTTGGAGCAAGATTTAGATTACAACACGAAAGAGATTGGAAACTTGTCCATGAAGGATTGAGAAGGCTATAGGAAGAAAAAACGCCGGTGTCCTCGTCTATCCAAGTCAAAAGTCCGTTTCAAACCAAGTCATCCATCTCTTTGTAATTGTAGTGGCCTTCACTCCATGGCTGCTGAGCAGGCCCAAGACCATCATATGGCGGCCCACCGCCAGCCCATGCTTAGTATAGAAGGGTTCACTAACACTTTCACCTCATAATATTTGGCTTGCCCAAGCCGATGCCATCGGGATCCCATGGTACATGAGATTGTTTTTACCGGGATCTGGCTCATGTCGTAGATGTGGTCGAGGTGGACTTGCACGTAGTTGATGTAGTAGTCATAGCTAAAGAGACCCTCGTCGAGGAAGGTGGCAATGTGATTGTGGTAACAGTAGGACAGACCTTCAGCCATGATCCTCCTTGAGCTGCAGCTTGTCTGAAAAGCTCATAGAATCCGACAAGTGGCCAGATGTCAGGATCCCATCACAACTTTTCGTCGACCAAACTTCGTACAATCCGCTGATAAAGACCCCTATGGTGTATTTGCATAGGGTAGTTGGGCAAACTTGGTGCCATCGATAT